GGCCCGGGTGATGGCAGATTGCCTGGGCTTCGTGAGGGAACGGTGAGCACAGAGAGCGAATTTCGGTTGTCGGTTCCGAGACTGATAGATCCCCCGGGAGACGGAGGTTTTGCTATTTGAGGCTTTCCAATTTTGGATAATAGGTGTTGGTCATAGGCATTTGATGAGTCTTTGACACTCCGCAGTGAAAATTCGCGCTCGCCACTCAAGCTGTCAAATTTGTTAGCAAGGACCAATCAGATATAGAAAAGCGCTGTACTGCGAAACTAAGAGTCGCTCGCAGTCCTCGTGCATCAAGTGCGCTTACATTGGACCCGTCGGATTCGGGATAATCGACATGGAATTTGGAAATCCGTCTGTAGCTGACAGAGGTGGCTGGATCTGGACCTGAGTTTCGGGGCTTCGCGAGACTTTAGGTCCGCCCTGCCTCCCTTCTAAATCGTCTATCTGCATTGGATCACCCTGTGAGACAGTTACCGGCCGTCGGTGACCTCCAAACAAACTTGAGCTCGGGTTGATTGGCGGAAGAGAAGTTGGAGTTCGTGAATTTGCGTATTCCCAGCCGGCGTCATGGCCCATCTCCAAACCGGGAATTTTGGATGGCGGCGGAAGTGGTGGAGGGGCGGTGTTCATAGTAGTTCTAGCTCGTGAAGCTATAGGTAACGGGCCGTGAGATGATAGTGCCAGCTCGGGCATAGCGTATTGGGATCTTTCGGAAGAACGACGCCTGTGTTCTCTGAAATCATGAAAGCTCGGTGACTGAGAAAATCGAAGGTCCATTCTAGAACCAGCACCTAAAGCCGGAATCGAAATCAAGACGGGCCGGTGCGCATCCACATGAACCCAAGGTGAGATCAGAAAGAAACCTAGTAAAGCAGAAGACAAGGTCGAGGTTGATGTAAATCGAAACAAGCAGGTCGAATCAAGATCTCAATATCCCAGCAATAACCCAATCCAGTTGAGTGCAAACGTCGGTCGTGAAACCAGCTCTGATTGTTAAGCGGACCGTTAACCAGCCTCACACACTCCGATGAAGAATTTCTCAGAAGGTCCAGCTTCTGCCTACTTCAAGAGAGGGCAAATAGTTATATAGTGGTGACAATGTCAATAGAGGACTTTGTGCAGTGATAAAGTCTGAGTCTAGTTTGAGAGTCAGATATCATTTGAAAGTGGACTTGACGTGATAATAAAAGACCGGGGTAGGAAAAGTAGGGAGAATAGGGCTGAAGAAGACCTACCTCGGGACCCTTGTTCGGCGATTCGCCTCATAAGATGAAACGTTTTCCCGTAAGTGACACACGGAGAGCCGGGTCTGTGTCCCATAGAAATTGGCCACACTGCAACTCAAGGAGATGCACACATGCTTAATGAAAAATAGTGGAAAAAATAGAAGAAAAAAATAGAACTAATAATGTTAGAAAAGGTGCAATTATGCCCAGAGATTTGAGTATAAAGAAACACACACTCTCTATCCAATGGGGTACCCCACCACTAGCTGAAGCCCGATAAAAAAAAAACAGTGTAGGGCAAAAGTGAAAGGGCTGAAGGCTGAAGCTGGAACTGGAGCTGAAGATCAAATAAGGCAAATCGAAAAGGAAAAAAGTGATTGAAATGCGCCCAGATCGGGGTATCGGGTAGGAATTCGGGCGGTGCAAGCGATTGGATCCAATTCAGGCAAAGAGAGGGGGCAATTTAGGTGATCTCATCCTCAAGAAAGGGAGGGAAAAATGAAGGAAAAGGTTCAACTAATCAGAAGCAAAGAGGCAAAAAATAGAGGAAATTGAAACATACCAGGCCAGGTCTCGGGCTTAAAGCCTTTGGGTGACGTGGAAAAAGCGTATATGTATGTATCGTTGGTATATGGGTCATGTCTGTTACATACCAGTTACAGGGCAAAACATATGTGCATCATTTTTTACAATAATACAGAATACATATAATAGAATTTAATGGTATATTTCATATTCTCTAATTAAACATTAAATCGAATACTATAATTTAAATTAAAAAATGGATTGGATTTTCCAGATCTTCGCGTGGGAAAGCCACGTTGGAATGACAACAGGTTCCTTTTAGGGCACAAGGCTTAGCGTTAACAGACTCGGTAATTTTTTCTTCTCCAGATATATCGGTTCGATACTATTCCACAACGTCTGGGTACCTGGGTACGATATACAACATAGCTCTCTTCCAGAAAAGACATATGGGTCCCCCTCCATAGAACGGGGAAATTAAAATGGACTGGCCCAGAGTCCAAGAGTTCCAGTTCCAAAGAACCCGCTGATCTATTTGACGCGCCCTACCCCATATGGAGTCTTCACATTATTTGACGGGATCATGGAAGCCAACCAGAACATTGCAGAATGGCCGTGCGGCCAACCTCATAGGTGGGGGTCTCTCGTATATTGGGCGCCTCGCAAATGCGACCCAGATAATAGGTGTTGTCCACATCATTAGTGTTAGTCCGATGTACGGAGTATATAGCATTCTCTTCAATCTTCTTTTGGCTATCTTCACTCCTTATTCTAGTACCAAGTCGAATGCCAAAAAAAAAAAGAAAGAAAGAAAGACTGGAATTTAGTGGTCCTACTCCAAGGTGAAAGGTGCCGAGGAACAGGGACTATCTTTTTTTGTTGAGACAAAAAAACTTCTCGAAGAATGGCAGAAGAAACACGTTCGAGGAACCATGGTTTATGGATTGTTAAAATTGCCAACTTGATAAACAAAATGCTAGAGAGGGGTACACCGTACATCCCGCGGAGTTCTTGGCAGAATGAAGTATAGATTGGCATGGTCTTGTGCAGGTTTGCAACCAGTGATAATATACACCGGGGCTTGGAAATCTTGGCATTTAGGCTTAATATCTCCCGGGCAAGGGGCGCATGCGACAACACCCCTGTTGACGGGGGTTCTTGAATCCTGAACTGCAGCTAGATACGTGTATATTGTACGATACATCTTCAATCTCATGAGTATGTTGTATACGGGGAGATTTTGTGCTGCGTTCGGAGGATTCGGGCCCTACATTCATTAGAGAACATTCTTTTGCCTCCACATTAAAAAAGCGGACAATGCTGAGTCGTTGGACATTGACCCACTGATTTACTAGTGTGCTCCACTTAGTGCCTAGCATTGCATGCACTGCCACACTGCCGGTCCGCCTGTCATTTGCGCGCAGGGGGGTGTGAACCTTGACTCTGTGGTGTGATCAAACATTCTAGGTAGAGTAAGACATCTTGAATGGGATTTTTTCAAAAAAAAAAAAACCACAGAAAATGACCTGGTCTTTGGTGATGAATGTGAAGAAGAGAAATGAGAACGTTGGAACAAACCCTCCAGGGCTGCAGGGAACAGGGCTGAGTAATCAGTTTATTGCTCCACATCAGCTTCGAGAACGAAAATCTCGGATTTTTGGTTTTATTCGGTTTGTTTTCTTTTTCAGGAAATAACGCTAAATTGAGTATTTCATACTCCGTACTCCGTACTTACCACGCAATCCAACACGTTAGTGCAATATAGGTATGTAATATAATGGGGTTTCATCCCAAGGAGATGGGTGAACTCTATGGAGTACGTTATATGTATACCCCTGGAGCCCTATCACACGTATGACGATCAGATCTTCTGATCAGCATCTGGGTCTATACAGAGTAATGATTTTCTGCTCTCAAGGGTCAGGGTTGCTCCGCTAGGTAGCTCAATATCAGGATTTTGTAATTGCTGTGTGGCAGTGACCTTGGCGGTGGTATTGCCTCTCTGCATTGATCTATCCTCTGTACTCCGTCTCTGTACTCCGTACGGAGTACAGAGTAGCGGATACAAAGACCAGTCTAAGAAAGTTTCCCCCGGGCCCATTACCATGTATTTCTCATCGATCGTCGCCGTCAAGCCAGTTAATGTTCCAGGAGGCGCCCTTAACTGATTTAGGAAATAATTAGATTGCGATGGGTGATGGCTGACCAGGTAAGCTACACAGCTCCATTGAGGCGTGTGTGTCCGCATTTTTCTTCCGGTAAAGATTACCAGAGCGACAGGCAGCAAAGACACTTGGTCAACAAGAGGCGTCAGCAGAGAGGGGTTAACGGATTTTGTACGGAGTAGTTCGGCTGGCTTCGGCTGATAAAACCCAGTCTCTGCCCAGGCCGTCAGCAGAAACCGAGCTATGGAAGAGTCCGGGTGCATACCTATGGTACCTCCTGAGGCGCAGCCAGCCTTAAGCCCTAGAGGGCTGCAGTCTAGAATCGCGTGGCACGCCTTTAATTAATGTGACGCGGGACGAGCTAGCTTCCTTTATACTCCATATCCGTATGGAGTGGTAAGGCCGTATATGGCCTCCGGCCCCATTCATTGCTCTATGTTGTATTCCTGATCAGCCCAGGTCCAAGTTCCCCGCGGTAAGCCTAACTAAGCCTAAATCTAGCTTCCTTTTTGTTGCCCCGTGAGCACCCCCTTGCAGTTCCTATAGCAAATCAGATCCTCGGCTAATGTGGTTGACTGTTTGACCTTTGTAGGATGTAAATCGCGCTCCACATTGAGAAACCTTCGGCTAGGCTTCTCTATGATTTAGAAGTCCAATCTATCCACGCCGTATGTGTAGATACTCTGTATTTCTGTACCATTGCAACCATGCATTAAGTCTACAATCATGTAGAACATAGGGGGCACGTGGTCGGTGAAGTGATCTAGATGTTTGGTAAATGCCGCGTCTCACTTTTGGGAAGGGGCTAGCTAAATTCCATTTTCGTTCCGTGCACTCAAACTATAATAAAGGCTCTAGAAGGAAACGATAATACATGTGTACTTATGTAGGAAGCATCAACCCCAGAGTGGGGGAGATCCTCATACAGTGGGCGACCTCCAAAGTGCCACGCCATGTACATATCCACACCCTCTTACAGCTATTTGAGGGTTAATAAATGAGTTCAAATCTATTAACAATTCTATTTTCCTTTGATAGCCACAAATAAACCCAAGTCTGAAATATAAGAGTACGGTATTGCCTGAGGCACCCAAGTCACCTGCTTTGTCATACCCTTGCCCTATCAGACTTTTTGAGTTTGGCAGCGCCGAGGCTCAACCTCCGCCTTTGCGATCTAAGAGAAGAAAAGAGTCAAGTTATCAAACCGACACTGGAACTGAACCTCTGAATTCTGTACCTTCTCTGTCGCCATCAACAAAACGTCTTACTGCTGCCAAGTCGCAGCCACTATATCCCAAAAATGGCCATGAATCAAATAAAAGGCCACAATATCTATGTCGGAGGGTTGGTCTCACTTCACTAACAGACAATCCTTGCCCGGGTATCGCTAAAATGGATCTGAGGCTGGAGATTGGCACTGGCAGTTCCTGATTTGGCAGTTTTTATTCATTGCTAACGCGCCATTTGTAGCATATTAAGCGCCAAAAACAAAACAGCATTGGCACGCGCAGATATCTCGCATGTTCTCTCAGTACTGCGTCTCAACCCAGCCGAGGAACAGGAGACTTTCAAGTCTTTCCAGCATCTTTCAATAGGAGTTGACGATGTCGACGATGAAAATTTATTGGAGCATTTCCCCGCCGCTATCAAGTTTATTCAGTCCGGCCTAAACGGTGGTGGAGGTGTACTCATTCACTGGTAAGTCAAAATACGAATTATCCAGTCTCCCTTGCGGAAAGTTCCTCCCGGCTCTGTCATTCGTCCCTGTTTCCTCTTGTGGAATGCATATTCTTGAGTGGCTTCGTGCCTCCTACGTCATTTCGTATCCATCAAGTGCGATCTACACGTGGCTGAAGAATCCCGCAAATTCTGTTTATGCACGTTGGACCCTTTTTCTGGAAACCCACAAGCCGTGCCTGGCCTCGCTCATCATGGAAAGATGTACAGTGGCTAATGTAATGATCCAGTGCGATGGGGAAGTCCCGCTCCGCGGCCATTTGCATCGCCTACTTGCTCCACCGGCAGCCGGGGGCACTCACACCGCAATCTGCCCTTGCGGTGGTTCGCCAAAGCAGGCCCCTATGTGAGCCAAACGAGGGCTTCATGGAACAGCTGAATCTGTACCATGAGATGGGCTGCCCAGATGATGTTACCGACCACCCATCGTACAAGCGCTGGCTTTATCGCCGTGATGTCGAAGGAAGTGTGGCGTGTGGCCGTGCCCCAGAGTTGAAGTCAGTGCGATTTGAAGATGAACAGCCCGTTCAGTCCCAAGACGCCACCGGTCGAACAGTCGAGATTAAATGTCGGAAATGCAGGTTAGTCCCACAATTAAAGATCCAGACCCATATTCCTGAGAGAGAAAAAAAAAAAAGAACCTTCCAGGTTTACTAAACCCATCACAGAACAAAATTGGCAACGAGTCCATTCATCCTCCCGCATGAGGAAGAAAAGCAAAACACCGCCAAGTCCTCAGCAACCGCCGATTGCGGCCATGTTTTCCTCCACCCCCTGACCTGGATGCGCCCGAGTCTCTTCCCATCTGAGGATGGAGCTGAGGCTAGCGCTGATACAACATACGGTGCGCACCCCGACGATGCCCCTCTCTCTGGGCGCCTCACTTGCCCCAATCCTATCTGTGGGTCCAATGTCGGCAAATTTGCATGGCAAGGTCTTCGATGCAGCTGTGGTGGTTGGGTCGTGCCGGCCATCGGCCTCACCAAAGCCCGCGTCGATATCGCACAGGTCAACATAGCTCAGGGCCCAAGGGCTAACCCTGCCATCCGTCTTCCTCCGGGAATGCGGGCCCTGGCGGCAGCTAATGACTCTGGACGTGGCAATCTTTGAGATGACAAGTGATGAACACTGTACATGCATACATAGTTTTACGAGTTATGAAAGCTTAAAGCTCCAACTTACATTTGTTTATGGTTCATGTTGGTTTTTTTTTCTGTTCTAATTGATCATCTGGCAACCAAGGGAGCTCACCGGGCTTGTCGTGAGTGACCTATGGTACACCTTAGCTCGGACCTGAGAGACACTTGAAAGTCCACTTCGTGCACAGCTGGGTCATCATTATTGAGGCACCCACTCTTTGGGGATGGCCACGTGCCCAACGTGGAGAGTGAACATTGTTGCTGGCGATACATGACTGCCTTGTGTCTTATTTCATTCTATTCTGTACAGGCAGCGACAAGGGCATAGTGAGGCTCGAAAACACTGCCTGCGACCTTTCCAGACAAGCCGCTAAAGCTGACAGGAGATTGCACCGTGCTCCATCCCATGATCTACAAAAGCAAGACACACATTAGGCAGCACGCCAGCCGACATGTCCCTGCTGATCTGTACAGCCACTGTGATATCAATCTATTCCAAAACACACAAGCCATCCGTCTTCCGAAAGCTACCTAGCCATCGCCATCTATCTTGTGATTCGTATCCAACGCACCCGTCGGTCAACATGCATCTTGCACAAACTCAAAGATGGAGAGTAATACAGCATCGGCGATATGAGACAAAGCCAAAGCCCCATTTCGAATCGTAGATAGTAATTAAAGTCTGGACGGGCTGACCCTACCCTAGGGCTGCACCGCATACAACATACCAAACATGCATAAGTCGACTCGTGGCCTTAGCTAGGCCTTGTTTTTTTTTTACCTAGGTGTTTTTATTGCTGGGTCCGATCCCGTCGAGTCGAGCCATATGCAGCTAACGAAACAGGCACAAGGCAACGGTAGTTAATCGCGCGCCAAGGACAGCCCTGAGTTTCCCATCAAGCCCACAAAAGTGTAGATCCACGCAAACGCATACTCCACTTATCTTCTTCTGTCTTCCCTCGTTTCTCTACAACATACAAAGTAGGTTTCTTCTCCTAAAAGTGGCCCCACTCACCGAAGCGCTGTCAGTTCGAGTTGGATGTTTCAAGGATCAGCGTAACGCCAATGACGCTGGGATTGACCGAGTCATTTCCCCCCCTTCTGTCGACTTCCAAGGTTTTGAAGCAGGAGGAGGCTGTGCAAAGCGGGTCTGTTTCCTGCGTTTCCCGATTGGTTGTGGGTTTGTGTATTGGTATTACCGGTATCTGTTTGGTATGTGTTTGTTACTGGGGTATCTTGTATTTTTCCCGAAATATGACCTTATATTGTCTTCTAATTGGAGCTTTTGGTACTATACACATCTCGAATATGATATATTAGTTATGTAGTTCTTACTAGTTGTAGATCTAATTAGTGTACAAGCCCTCATTGGTTCTGTTATCTCGACTAGCTACCTAGACGCTGTATAGACATACTTGCCATTATCCATACTGTGATTGGCAACCCTTTCCTTGTGGGGGTGGGCAGTGCACATTGCCTTGCAGGGGGAGCTCCCGGTGGAGTTCCCATCTGGCCTGGCTTGGAGACTTAACAAATGCACAGGTACCACATCCTTTCCACAATCCGCATCATTTTTACATAGTTTATCAATAGATGCGGTTGTGATCGCCTTGCGTCGATCGCTGGCATTAAACTTTGTTTCAGGTCTGTCTGGGATTAGGCTTGGTCTCTTGGTATGGATGATAGGTACGGGATATAGGATCTAGCTTAGGATTGAGTTCAATTGGGAGAGTCTTGAAAACAATCATTTATGTCTGGGATAATCCCGTAATCCTGTATTCTAAGGAATTTGCCTTTCAAAAATATTATGTCTACAAAGTAGTCTCACTTCGTTTGATGCATGATATCTGCGCATCCATGCATATTTTGCGTTAAACAAGCCTTGTGTCTCGTGGCGACATTTGTTGTCAACTAGTGAGCTACCAAATATAGGCTGCCAAATACTTTGAGCTAAATAAAGACAACACGATGGGAGTTACACTGCCTACGAAGTTTGAACAACACGTGCATATTATGCACTGTACTCGCACGAGTACGGAGTATCGGTTAATATACTAGTACTCCGTACACAGGAAAGTCATGTCTACCTACGCTCATCATTTTAGCTTAGCACTATATATAGGCTTCCTGAATGCATCCAAACCCTATGACGCTAGTTTCGTCGGCCGCGTGCTCTAGTGCAGCACTATTCATCATCTAGACCTGCCAGGCAACGTTGAATCGGTAAACTTGACTCGAGTGATTTGAGAAGGCCTCTACGATTCTTTGATAATTATAGATTGTGTTACTTCCCAGGCAGCTGCGTTGTTAATTGGAGTTGAATCTTCACGTGTCTGTCCGAGTCTTAGAAGTGTTGTGGGTATATAGTTGTCTAGGCTGCGGGCTATGTATATGGATTTGCATAAAAATAGCACTTTACAGCATGCCAACTATGGAGATAACGCTTTACAAAAGCCAACGATTAGAAACACCTTGTATCTGCCAGGGAAGATAATTGCAATTGCACAGCTGAGCTCTAGACTACAAAGAGTGAGTCGGAGCAAGCCCCAGACAGGGGGACGAGAGTACAAAGATCGTTATACGTACCATGGCAGTCTATGTACCACGGAGAATTCGTTCAAGCGCCACATGTATCGAACTTCACAAGGCCGCAGCAAATACACGAGTAGAGGTTCCATTGAAGGGCACAAGAACAAACCGAGTAAGCCGCCCACTAGGGCTGAGGCAGTTTCTACGAGGGGTTCGTTAACTTTGTGTCAGTTTTAAACAAAGATGGCTCTAGCTAACTAGCGCTTATTATATCCCCACTTGAACGTCATGCAATACGGGAAGAGCATCGTGACACTGAGCTATTTATGGTAGAAAATAGAAAGTCAACAGTTTCCGGTCTTTGGTATATGTAACTAATTGCCCGGGCGAGAGTGGCTGAGGATTTTAAGGCGGAGTCTCATTGGGCGCCTCGTAGAGAAATGTGTACTAAGAATAAGCGAGTTACATAGATTACCGGCTTGGAAATTGATTCTGCTACTGCAGTCTGCATCCTGCAGGATCAGATATTTGTTTATTTGAGAGATAAATGGAGTCCGTTATACATTTAGGTCCTAGGGATGAATGTGCCCGAGTCAGGAGCGCCCCGTGCCGGGGGCCAATACCACGTCAATGGCTTGAACCTTCTTTTGTCGGTTGGAGATTGCATGATTCGCTGATAATTTCGCGGAAAGCCCGCTAAGAAATAAAGACGTAGAGATGTGGGGGTATGAATTTTTCATGACTCAATATATCCGCATGGTTGGGTCCGGTGTTATTTGCAACCCGGTCAAAACAGAGTAAAATGGTTCGATAATCAGGTATTGATAGGAAGCATTGAACATGCCGCGCGAAGTGATAGACATCAGTTGTCAGAAATGCCTTCGCTGTTTTGCATCGCCTTCTCCTTGCCTGGGGCTTCAGTGTGCCCGCCAGATCGGCAGAGGATGATGGGCAAACCAATATGGCGTTGTTATCTCGAATTACCTATACTGACGCCCAAAGCATATGATCGAAGAAATGTCTAAGGATTTCCCGACGGCACAGAGGGAAACAGTGAAGGCTGTCTTAATCTTTCCTGGTTGCGTTTTGCCATTTCAATGTTGCGCAGCCGGTCGATGCGCATCTGATAGAAATTCCTGTTTCGCTGTTAGGAGTCATTATCAACAAAATGATGTCTATCACATACTTATGCAAAGAGAAAACTCGAGGCGAATCATCTGATTTTATCTCTGTCCCAGAACCTTTCTGGATAGAAGCGATCTGGCAAGGAGAATCAGTCAACACGTTCATACGAAGCATTTTGCTTGGTTCCCTTCGCTGTGAAAAGACACGAACCTTATCATCTCTGTCTTTTTCATCGTTGGCGTTTGACTCAGATGCATCCTTGTCTTTGTCTTTGGACTCATCTTTGCCCTTATCTTTTCCCTCTTTATTGTCCTTGCTAGACGCCTTCTCGCGCTCTTTCTTTCGTCGTTGCTTTTCTTCATATTCTTTTTTCACTTTTTCGATCTCCTTGGCCATTTCCTCTTCCTTAAGGCGTTTTGCTTGGCCCTCTGTGTCGACGATTGGAGAGCAGAAATGCTTGTCTTGCAAATGTGCGGGGCACACGTAGAAGAAGTCCTGAGTGAATTAGGCACTTTACTTTGCATGTATAAAAATGGGAAATGAAGTGAAAAAAGAATATTGTACGCTATAAGCTAGATCTGAGATCAGATCGCATACCTTGTTGTCCGGTGTGATCATCACACTTGTTGATGGTTTGTAGCAAATCAAACATGCTTTTGCAGAGGTATCCGCGACCCGACGCACATGGTAGACGTTTGTCAATGACATGATTTCGAATCAAAGCTGTCACTCTAAGCTACTAGGAGTGTTCCAGAGCTTCTGTTGCTGCTTGAAGTTTGTGTTGAACAAGTGTAGGTGGACTTGATGAGGTTGGTGTTAATTGAGAAAGCGCCGTCATGTGACCCATACTTCGAAGCAAAATCGGATCCATTGAAGTCTTTATAATATAATTAGAATTCAGGATGATCTCGTTGATGGAATCAAGGTATTCATTTACTAAAGCTGATATTGCATTTCAGCCAACATCCGCCACGCCCATCTTGTCAGAACGCCTAACCATGCATTTGTCCACTGATATCAGTCCCGATAGGACTAGAGATAGGACTAGAGATAGCAATACATGAAGTTTTGTGAAGAGAAATCATGAGATATAGTGAGCATTAAAAAAGTTGCAGCAAAAAAAAAAGACCATCATAGATCATAACACCTCGTCCCCGTCAATACCAGCTGCTTCCTTTGCCAGCCTCAAATCCTTGCCTGCGATACCGATATCCCGCAAGTAAGGCCTGAAGGCCATCAATAGATCCTTGAGACCACCACGGAGTGCAGCAAGCACAATTTCAACATCTGGAACCAGACGGGCAACTGCTTGCGCCTGGGGATCGCTCGATGGGGGAAGTTGATATCCGTCCAGTGGGCATCCAATCCACCCTGGTGGGCAAATGCATCCACGGTGACTGTGGTTTGGGTCAGAAGTCGCACGGCTGACGACACATCGGCCTGAACTTTGCCGTACGGATCTTCAGCCAAACTGGCAATGAGGAGTCGAGTCAACGACTCCACGGCATCCACAATCAAGGATAGAGAGGACTCTGGTGTGCCAAGAACAATAGCAGAGAGGCGTTGGGCGTATGTTTGACGGAAAGGTTGGCCGATAGGCGAACGAAGAATCTGCGCTAGAACCGGGTTCATGTCCTCGGGTTTATGAGTGGTGGAGGGGCCGCCGGTAAGTAGCTTGAACTTCTGCGAAGAGTCCAGATATTTCTGTTTCTGCTCCGGGCTGAGAA